TATGTAGCTTACGTATCTTTTTCTCAATTGTTTTTTTGTTTTCCAGGAAAATCTGTAATTTTACTGACTAACGATCATAACCTAGTGTCAAAAAGCTGTGCCAACCAACTGAGAGCGATGACTTCCTTGGACCTGATGGTGCTGCTCCCAGAAGCTATTTGTGCATTAGAAAAGTTTATTATGAGAGATATACAGGCATTGTGTCCCCAGCGCGATATAATTGTTAGGTTTACTATAGAACTATTGGTTTTCACTCTTAAACTACACCTTGCTTCCGTAGACCCGGACTTACATTATTTTGCCACTGCAGACAGGCTTGCATATGAGATCCTGGACCAGGCGACTAAAAAGCAGCTTGCAAGTAAAACGATGCTACGGAAGGTTAAGGAAATTATGAGAAAATGTCGAGAAAAGGCCGAGAAAGTCTCGATAGATGAGGTCCGACGTCTCATTAAATATGCGTGTGCAATATCGGAACAAGTAAAGACGAAAAACATATTGGCAGTTAAGGTTCTTAATATTTATAAAGGAATATATGCTGGCATCAAAACATCAACAAGGCAAACGTACGCTCTAAACTTTGATCATCTCAAAAACAAGCAAGTTGGCGTCTCTGAGCTTGGACTATACAAAGAGCAAAACAATACTACTAAGATTAAGGCAGGGAAGCTGCAACAACAGCGACATCAATCGACCAGGGATACGAAAAAAAAGCCAAAGCAATTAGAGGAAGACACAAGGCATAGGAGAGAAACGTATCATAGGATGCTTGAAGATACCGAAATTAGTGATGAAGACATATTACCATTTGACACTGATTCAACAGCGACGGTTAACTTAATTCCACAGTTAGAAAATAATTCCGTTTCCAGACGACTAACTCGTTCCAAAGAAACTATCGCTACTGAGACCCTAGTTCGAACTTCGATGAAATATGCTTCTAAACATGAAATACCGACTAATTGCCAAGTTCTAGATAGCGAGGCCGATAGCGACAAACTGTGGTCGTCTGTGAAACAAGCAACAAAACGAAGCTTTGAGAGGCCGGCGTTCAATAAGGCAGAGCACAATCCAAGTGCACAATTATCAAGTGCCAATTTCCACCTACTTTTCGAAAGGTATAACATCAGGGTCTCTCTAAGAGCAATGTTTACATAACTACTTTCGACTGCAGTGAATATTTAATGCACAAGTTAGCTTAATCGTTCAATAAAATAGAGTTAAAGCCTTGCAATGCTAGAACCCAGCATGATCTCTGCTATACGTAATAACTGTTGTATTATTATCCCCTTTCATATTGTGACTATTTAATAACGTTACGATGATTGGATTCAAACTGCACTTTTTTGGGCAAAGTTGTAAATTGATTACAAAGCAATTTAGATAAGATTTTTTTGCACAAAGATCATTGTTATAGGTGATTTTGGAACGGATTTTTTAAATACTAGAGCATGCTTTAGTTGCGATGCGTGTACTCTTTGTCATTAAAACGTACGAAATTTTTTAAAATAAAATTCGGAAGGGCATTTCGTTACATAAAGGAAATATGAGAGACACAAAATGAATGCAATAATATATATATATATATATATATATATATATATATATATATATATATGATAACTCGTTAACGCTGTAAATTTTTACGGATTCTATTCATTGGCTTAAGTACCTAGTCGGAGTTATTAATTTACTGTGTGTTTATTGACAGGCATGAAGATTCCAGCAGGATGGACACGGAAGAAAGCGTTGCAGTTAAACGTCAGCGTCAAATAGAAAGCAGGAGTTCGACTATTATTTCGGATAAAGAGCCCGTTTATGAAATGCTCAATTCCGCTTGGCAACATCTCAATAATATAACAGGTACACAAACCTGGCCTCTATCAGTTTTCTAGACGCATCGAACCTGTACGAAATAAATAGTCCGCAAATAAACCAGTGGACCCCGCGCGCCAGGAATGCAACACTTTTAGTACAGTAAATCTCGAACCTTTGAGTGTAGTGGTGCCAAAGTCAATTAGGGGGCTTTTAAGATATTCCGATCCTTTAAAAGCAAAGCAAGGCAGACGCGGACATTTTAAAGGCTTATTTTTAGTTGAACTTTTCAAACAACTTTCTGTAACATAGTTATGTTCCGAAGTATTTTTTTATGCATTGCTTAACGTACTTTCAAAGCCAGGTTTATTTATTTAGAAAAACATCGATAAATAAAAGACTATGTAACCTTTGGATCCTGGATTAGTGTTAAAATATTCGCCACTGATTTTGCAACCTTTCTTAAACCGAACTTATTTTCCTTGACAATCTCTAAAAACATTTCTATGGAACATAGTATCTCTATGATGCATCGCAAAAGCTCTCCTCTACTTCGAAGGACACCAAGGTAAATAATGTTAAAAAGTAAGACTACACATGAGCTGCAATCTTTGTCGTAGATTTTCACATTAGCGTATTCAACACCTCGAAATATATTTGACTAATAATAATATTAAATAAATATAATGACTGAAGTTTGGTGTCGTTAAAAGTGCAGATAAGGTATAGAGGTGAAGCTTCGATTGCCTGAAAATTCCCTTTGACAAATTTTCCTACGCAAAAAGTGGATTCAGCAGTTTAAAAAGTGACGCTGACAAGGGGACTTCCAACGATGAAAGCTTGCATGTGGCTGTTTCTTCAAAATTAAGGTCTCGTAACTGTTGAGGATAAAGGAAACAGTGACTGTCGAAACTGGTTTTGATAAGTTTGTCGAAAGGCTACAATCAATTGGAGCACGCTGAAAAGGTGCAGTTTTTATTCTCTCTGCCCATGGCAATTCTTGGCATTTTCTTAATATAAACTGAACTTAACAACATAAGAAAGTTTGGCTAGGCATGCACACTGGTGCCAACTTACTTCACAAATCTTTAAAATCATTCGTTCTTACCGATACAGTGCAGTATGGATGATATTTAATAAATCGTTATTTAAATTGAAGTATGTACCATTTCAAAAAACAGGTCGATTAGGAAAGAAGACGAAAAATTTCCATGAGAAGATTTACGGCTTCAGAGTGAACGCCGTTATACTTGGCTTGCAAAATAAATTGTTGAATAATGAAAGGATTTATTATCAAAGCCACCTTTTAAGACCGTATAATGTTATTTCGAAATGACTGATTTCAGGAAGCTGGGCCTCATATTGTAAAATTGAGTACCCCTTTGCGCACGAACAGAAATCGCCTGATCCTACTTACGATCATCCTCACCTCAATCGCTGGTCACAGGTGGTTGCGCAAGTAAGTGATTTTTACGAGCGTCTCCTAAAAATAAACTGCACAGTCTCGAAAAGTATCCAAATGGAAGTTGCAGGAAGATTCAAGGAAAACATTAGCAAAATTTGGGGACCGCTTGAACATCTGCCGTGCTCCGTGAGAATTTCCAGCCCAGCTGAAATACTCAGCTTTTTTGAGGATGATCATAACAGGTACATTGGACATGCCGTGGAGATCTGGTTTACACTTTGAACAAACATAGATCCCATATTTTTTTTTTTAATTTTTAAAAAGTTCAGTTAAACCTAGTGAGCGTCTTGTATTGTTAGGCCCTGCAGTCATTTAGTTTACATTTTTGTTTTTCGTGTAAGCACTTCGGTTGTTCATACGTTTTTCAACAACGTATTTCGAGCCTTTAAGGTGAGATCTTCCAATTAAACTCGAATGCAAACCATTGAAAGCCGTAATTAAAAAGTAAACTGGGCTACTTTAAACGACATCGACCTAACCACGCACAAGAACGTAATTCATTCTATTAGACTGTAAAGCTAAGATCCGTATAGTTATTTATGTAGGAATAACTAATAAACGGGAATTTTCAGGGAATTAATGAGTAATGGCTTGGAGCAACTGAAAACTTTCCGCAGGATCATTCAACAGTGTGACAAGAAATTGGTAAATGAATTGTTTCAGAGAACGAAAAAACGAGTATGCAGATCAAGCGCTAAGGTTACGGCAAAGTCTTCAAAATCGACTGATAAATAATATTATATTAGTATGTTTTTGAAATTCGAGCAATAGTTTGAATGAGAGAGAGAGAGAGAGAAAGAGAGCTGTGAAGTCAAACGACATCGCTTTCAAGCTATGATAGTGCCGCAAAGACACGTAATAGATACCATTAACTTGAGAAGCAATATTGTAGCCTGTCTCTCTGTTGAACTATTGAACTGTAAATACTAAGCAATCGGTGCTGTAGCACCAGTCCTTCACTATTTTCCAACGCAAGTACAGGTGACGCTTGATTCGAAACTTGTGATAAGGATCCTTGTATAAAAATGTTTTAATTTAAATGCTGCTTAAAGTAAAACATTCCTATGCAAAGCCATATAAGAAATAATCATTTCTTCATCGTAAAATTCAGGCAACGATCGATTTTTATATTTTAGAGATAATGGTTATATAATGTTATGTGCAATAAAGAATACCAGTCACGCAAATAGCTTCCTATTTATATCCAGTTTTGAATATCTCTAGTTTTTCCATAATATATTATTATCTGTTTTGGACAAGCAGTCAATGCCTGTGAGAAGTGGCTTTAGATTTTCGCCTATTCACGAAAAGTTACCAATTATCTTAGTCGACATAGTCTTGTAATCTTACCCATCTAACTGAAACCAATCATAATGAGTAACTGGCTGTCAGCGGCACGAGGCTGCACTCTTCAACGTCATACTTTTGGCGGAGTTTATAATAGTTGAGATAATATTGATGGTAATGCTTGTTTGTTTACGCCAATTGTAATTGGTTTATTGTTTAACTGTAAGGAAATTGTTTGCAGCTGGTTTACAACGTCGAAAGTGTCGACGTCGTCTTCATTTAATTCAATATTCTACGCGGTCGACATGAATATTTCAAACTGTTGTTAGCCTGTTTACGCCGTACGTATATACATAAAACTGAAAGGACCGCTCCAGATAGTAAAATAGGCAACTTTCCGCACGATTTTTTTCATTTGGTGGCGATGTCTGAACAACGGCCGCGTTATCGTCGGACCACCTCGGAGAGCCATTGTAGTAGACAGGATTTTTATACATCAAGACAATAAATCATTTTCAAACTAAACTAAAACATGTTTTGCGCATTTCTGAGCAGATCGCAAAGGATTTCACAAAAAAGTCTGCCTAAGAGATAAATACATAAACATTTAAGAATATAAAGCTTGAAATTTGTCTGCACGTGCTTTGGAGAGCGTCGCTTTCATCGCACTGTGCGTTTACACGAACGATGCAGTTTTTCACGAAAGCGTATAAGATGGCCAGATCTAAATAACAGGATAGAAGCGCCAGCAAACTGCCTTTTCTGCATACAGTATATTACAAAACGTACAAAGCAGGTTCGCTGACATTAGTCCCACATAAGCGTTTAGCAAGCAATTTAGTTGGATGGCCAGATTCACCAAAGGTGGTATACGCTAGACAGCACCTACTGTTTATTATGGGTGGCTAGAAATGTTTCCGGTCACCGAGATTACTTCTGCTAAGACCATTGAAGATCTCGGAAATGATTTACTGCGAGTGCCAATCCCGGTAGAATTGTTTCATATAACTAAACTCAGTTCGTTAATTCTTCGCGTAGACATTTCTTGTTCTATGTCGAGCTAGAATATTATTTGGGCCTAAAAATTGACGCAGGATACTCTTTAGAGTTTTTATGGAAAGGGCTCACGCGAATTAGGCTTGAGCAGGTTACGGCCGTATTCATGAAAACTCTGTACTACGGTCGTTTACTGTTGTAGCTTGGTAGCAGTCATTTTCAATTTTGACCAGAGAAAATCAATAACAAAGGCAATATGTGAAAAATCAACTTGCATCAGCCAGAACACAATCAACTCAATAGTACGAGGACCTCAGTAAAGCTACCTCTTCGTGTATGGAATTGAAACACTAAAGGCAAACTAGAAGGTTTAAGTGACACCCGCAGAGAAGTTATAAAATTGTCTTAGAGAAGAACATAATAAAACACATTTAATGGAGTATATTAAATGTATCCCTATCATCATAGTTGTTGAAATAAATCACTCATTCATGTGAGACCGAACTCAAATGTGTTTTTAGTGGCAGGTGAGTTGAATAAACCCAATCTCTTTAACAAAAATGTTGGTCTTCGCTAAGACACGGTTGAGAGCACCACAACAAATTAAAACAAGCACTACAAAAGTGACGTCTTTAGTCCTAGAAAGACGTTACTAGGGAAGTTGTAAGGTGGGCAAGCTACGTTTTGGGGCCGCGTAACCTTCACATGCGTGTCCCTGCTGTGTTGGTACTTATTATAAACTTAAACATATTTTTTTTACCATAGTATTATTATTCCACTATGAAGTTGGGCCGAGATTCATCTAGAAGGTTGTACGATTGCTCGTCAGTTAAGAGAAGGACGATATTTGGTTGTCAGCTAGAAACCCATCTTGGTCTTTAGGTGCATTTTTATGCCAATTTGGTCTGTGAACTATCACCTGCGAGCGTATCTTTTAAATTTGTGCCGATAATATGAAGATCTAAGAGGGGGCGGAAGATGATGAAAATGTTTTAAACTTCAAAATGCCTTACATTATCATCGACCAGCCTATTTGACGACTTGATGTGTCTTTTTATACACCATGGCACCTCGTAGTGGCGCGCAGTGTGATTTGAACGAAAAGCACAGATACGTAGCAGATATCCGATCGTCGATGTATAAACGTGTTCTTCCGGGAAAGGCCGCTGCGCCGAAAAAGCTGCAGCGAATTGCACGAGTAACGCAGTGTGTCGTACTTATGCAGCGTCCAGTAATTTCATCGTCCGCTGATGGACTGCTGTCGTAAGAACAGCTCAAACCTGTCAAAAATCGTGTTATGACTACTTAACGTACAGGGGAATCCGGCACCGAATCCAGGAGTATATACAGCACTGCGGCCGCGTGCGAAATATGACGACGAGGGTGAACCGCTATAGAGGCAGACGAATTCACGGATCCTGCTTCTTGATTATACAAAGCAGGAGTTATAGGACAAAAATAATTTTCAAAAAACCCGCTAACAAAGGTTAGCCGCAGATAATCTGAATTGAGTGGGCGGCTACCAGTCACGATTACCAAATTACGATTATTACTTCCGAGACGCAACGCAGCATCACTTCTCAATGTAACAATTGCAGCAATGACCATTGTTGAGACGTAGCTTGAAGTATAATAAGTGTAGCCAAGGTAGAAACATAGCTAATTATTCCAGTATTTGTTCACACACAATGGCTTGACATATGTGAGTAGCCAGTATAGCTCGTAAAATCGAAGCTCTCAAAAGAAAAATACATTTTTCATCATTATGGAAATAGAATTCCTCTCGTCAACAGCCTGTTCTCCTAGGTATTGATGTGTCTTTGGACAAGGACACCGATGTTGTCATCGATGGCAACCTCTGTTCACGTTGAGATCAGGATAGGATTGCCGTCCTCAGGTCGAGCACGTCGATTCTATCGATCATCAGGCGGTATGCAAACCATTGATCTATTTTCAGAACGCAGTCTTCTAAACGTCGATTACTGATGAATCTGTTCTACCCGCCCAAATTGTCTCAGCTTGTAACACGTTGTAGATAAAAACACTTCATTTAATTGAATTTTTATTTTCACAAATAAGGTGAAGACTCCTCCTTCAATTACTTGTGAACAGGAGAATTTAACTCCGAATGATTGTACAAAATAACCTCTATTAGAAACAGTTTGGCTACTCCAAAGATTATTTCTGATAATAAAGATATATATATATATATTTTTTTTTTTATCTAAAATATTAGCATCGTACGGCTGCCGCCGCTAGGCCTGTGTTCTTACGAAGTGCTCCATTTTATATTTGACCCTACGAACGTTCTTTGATATTTTATATCGTAAACCCGACCCCATCTTAACCTATATTCAAATTCTTACACATTTTACACACAATGATAGGATAATGCCACCTATAAAACGTGAGTTTGCGTCACCAGAGCAATCCACCAGAACCAAGTGATCACTGCATGTGGCTACGGTGATCCAATTATTTTTTCATAATTGTTTCGACAGTTTGTTCGTCATGTTACTACTCTTTACTTAATTAACTAATTACTACACTTTTTTGATGGTAACGTCGTTTGACATCGCTAATGTGACCAGTTGTTTATGTTTCGTTTTGATCTAAAATGGGCCTGAGACCCTTTTGCTGACAGCCACATTGCCTCACCTTGCCTGCCATTTACCTTCCATTTAGCTACTTCACTCTATATGCCTATAAATATTAAGTCAAAAAAGACCAGCTCTACTTTTGCTATTACTATCGCTACTACTGGCGCGCTTCCTAGTAATAACGGTAGGGTCCTTTCTCTTTGTCACCCACCAGTTAGTTTGTATATACCGTCGTATATGTGCAAGTGTGTATTGCCTCTGGGCGCGTGTAGGGATCTCGCAGCTCCCCTCAAAGAGAGCTAAAACCTCGCCGTCTAGTTCCCCTTTCGCTCTCTTTTCTGTTGGGATACATAGGACACATAGACACACGATGCACTCATACACTTCACCCAGGCACACGCTCACGTACACTCTGGAGCGAGGCCGAAGCTGCTATCGCTCTATGCTCCGGGTGGCGGAGCGGTGGTGAGCGGAGCTGCTCTCCGAGAAATGCGATGACGACCGCTAGCCGAATTCTGTGCAGCCAAATCTACGCCACCGACGAAAATGGTAAGTTACACGGTAGTTATACTATCTATAAGTCTTCCATCTACAACTGAGATGGTTCGGCGCCGTTTGATTCAAATCGAACCTGCCCGCGGTCTACAGCGCCGAGCAACGACTAAAACAGGAAAATCCAACAACAGCAGCTGGTGAGAAGCAAGCAAGCAAGCAAGAGTCAACTAACGGCAGCGTACTCATAACAACGATTGATTTCACTGACCGATATAACACTCGGCCAAAAACAGAGGCACCGGAAAGACGCAGTAATAAAACGAGATCAAATGCAGCTAAATAAGATCTACAATATACTCAAGAGTGACAATAGTAGACATGAGCCTTGATGGTGGCTGGCTGATGGGTTACACTGCGGTCGTGAAAGGTGGCAATGTCTTGTACCAGAAATCAGTTACTTGGATTAGAATGAAAAACATTCAGCACACGCACAACCAACAGGATCCACAATAAACGGGAGATCTCAACACCGTTGTTTTGTTGCAAGTGTTATGTGCGTATGTAGTTTGCCGTGCTATGTTAGCGATTATACTTTCAATAGTAATTTCTGCGCTTCCTGTTCGCGTGTGAGTTTTCGTTTGGGTTGTTAGTTGACGTTTGTTGCCGTGGGAATCGCTGTGCGTTGCTTAACGTTAATACAACAGCTGCGACGAAGCTTGTGAATTACGAGTGTGCCGATCGTGAGCGTAAGTAAGCTCCATCAAGCGATACGGTGACATGTCCGATCCTGGTAAGAGTCTCGATTAAAAACGCTATGCTAATGTGTGAAATCGACTGAAGCGGAGACCACTGAAGCAATTATATATCTGTATCGTGCCTTAAGTACAAACACGAGTTTATCTAAATTTAGTTATTTTTATATGTTGAAAATGTGGATGTCTGACATGAAGCACTTTTTTATTAGCCACCTGATTTTGTGCGACACTAGTGAGCAGTTTATCCACAGTTGAGGGTAAATTCTCAAGTGCTACAGTGGTTGCGATTACGTTTTATCACTAGTAACACTTGTAGAATATACTGATGTTTACTCTATTCTACGTAGATTTATCATCATAAGGTACCGTATCAACTACTAACATACGGGAAACAAATTGAGTCTGACTTTGTAAAAACAGTTTGTAACCGTATTAGTTACTGTCTGAGGTATAACTCATCTTCGCTTCACTAGAGAATGATTAATAGTACATGAACCGCTCAATGATACACGCTATGAAGTCTAGTTTAGTGATATGAATATCGGGTGAAACAAGACAGCGCGATAAAATAGTTGTCTCTTGCCTAAAATATTCTTTGTTTTTATTTCGTATCGGAGGTATATAGAGCTATTATTTTTGTGCTAGTAGGTCGAAAATAACCGTGACGTTGACATGTGTAGCAGGGGAAGATGGCAAATAATTGAGCTGAATAATGTAGAGGTGAATAAAAAGCTATTTGTACAAATTAAAGGTCCAAATTTATTAAATACACTTAATTCAGTTTAGTAAGTAGCCATGGACTTCTTTTGTACGCTTCGTCTTTTCTTGAGTAAATTTTAACCAAAAGGATCCGGCACCCCAGAAACCTTCGAAACGTAGATTTCATTACATTTCTTTGAACTGGAGCAACTTCTCCTTAGTACACTAAGTTATTATTTTATTTAAGTTCCAAGCAAATCTTAGCGCGCTCAAGATTTTCTCTCTATTGATCACATAATATTAGGCTTTTACAAATTAATTCGAAATTAAATTATGTTTGAACCACGTGTCGCTAGCAACCGAAATGTGACTTTTAAATACTCCAGTTTTTTAGAAACCGGGTGAAAATTGATCGACTTCATTTCAAAAGAAATGAATTCAGAAACAAAAGCATCTCTTAGTTTTGAGGATGAATCAGTCAGTCAGGTCAAGTTCTTGTACGTTGAAGGCCACGGAATTGCGAGATTCACAGAAAATTAGCAAAAACCTTGGACACGGGAGCTTTAATCGAACGCAGAATACGTGAGTGGCTCACAGGTTTCAAGAACGCCGATTAAGATTTTATTATTAAAGATAAAAATTGAAGGCCAGCGAAGAAGGGGGCAGATCTTAAAATCCGAAAAGCAAAAGTACATTACCTCAGTGGAATAGGCTTTCTAGCTGGGGTAATGCGCTAATTTCTGGGATAGGAGATATAAGGGCTCTGACTGCCAAAATTGACATTTTATGTATAATGTATTACAAAATCATAACCTTAAGGCTACAAGTGCGGGAGCTGAGTAACAATTGACTATAGGCCCATGAATTGACTACACGTCAGTTGGAAGTGCATGTAATGTTCAATTGACGGAATTTTAGTTAACAAGAAACCCACCTAGAGCATACGGTCGTCACTTACGAGGCGCGGTTCAGTCTCCACAGCCAGTGAAAGGGAAACCAGAAAAGAACTTGGCGTTGTCTTAAAGCGAAATTGACTTCAGTGGCAGTGTCAAAAAGGCACGGACATAAAATAGGAATAGTATTTGCAATGGACATCAAGGGTATCTGTTACTATAAGATACGCACTGAAAATGGAACAGTGAATACAGCCCGCCATCTCAAGTTGTTCCAGAGACTCATGGACCCTTAGTACGACAATCGAAAGCACAGAGCCTGGTTACTTGATATCAGTATCAGACCTCATTGTCGTGTTTCAATTATTTCTTGGGTTGAGCGAAGAGGTGTCTAATTTTAGCTTCAATTTACTTATTCTCCCGATATAGACCTGTGTGCCTTCTTTCTTTTCATGTTCTAAAAACGACAAGTAATGGGTAAGCATATCTTACCGTTGATTCGCTTCGAAAAGCAAATGATGAAGAAATTGCACACGGGAACGCGAATAGTACGCATGTGGCCACTCAGAAGCTGCTAAGGTGCTGGGATAAGCGTGTCAAAAAAAAAAAAAGAGAATTTCCAACGCACTGAAAAATCATTATTCAGGATCAACTAGATTGAAAGTTATTCAATTTCAAGTTCTGCCAAATTCGTTATATTGAATATTAATCAAGTACTTATCAACGTATTAAATTCTTCAATTTCGATATCTTCCGTCTTTTATTTACATATATTATGCGCTTGATCTTGATGAGGTTTAGCGTTTCTAGTTCATTTATCGCACATACAAACCCATCTTAAAAATATATAGATAGATAAGAAGACCATATTTGCCTTGTTTTTGATATTATCGCGAATGTAGGCCTTAGTGACATTTAAGCGAACTGATTTATGTAAACTGCATTGTTTCGCCACAAGTTAATCGTGCTTGAAGATCGTACTGAGTCAGTAAGATCGAACCTGTTATTCTGCACCTATTCCCAATCTTAAAGGTGACAGGGAAAGATTGAATCAACGAATTTGGGCTCGATCTTTACGCAGTTGTTTTTCTATAGCTCTTAATCAAGTCGAAACATTCTGCGCGCTCTTTCGATCGCGTCTCTGTTTATTTTATATGTAACTCATAATAAATTTCTTTTGGCTTTTCGGAGCCTTCCGTATCCGGACCCCAAAAAGCGTTGGCACACACTGAAATGGTGAGCCTATTGCCTTCTCATCAACCTTACTTCTTACTCTAGCATATATTCTAGAAACTTTTAGCAAAAAATGATTAAAAAAAATGAGACATGCAATGGTTCTAACTTCATTTTGTGGTAATGACGAACCCTAGTTGAATTCTAATGCAGATCTTAGGATTTCTAAGTTACTCCATTTGGACATATTTTGTTTAAAACCACTTTCATATGAGTAGCTCCTAATGTCCCGAAATATAGGTATCCATTTCTAAACCTGGATCGCTTGGCATTGACGAATCCTAGACGGTAAACTATGCAGTACTGTGGGATTGTATTTCGGTAAGGAAGGGGCGAAAAATTATGCTTTCCTCAAAATTTTAGGACAACAGAACCTTCGACGTACGAATGACCTGTGTCTAAAAAAGGTACTTTTCTGATTGCCCAAGTGAGGTTCAGTGTCAAATGTCAGAAACTCAGCTTTAGTGCCATAGGAAACTAGAATACTTTCTCTCCAATTGCTCCTTATTATGGTTCCACAAGGGGTCACTTTGTTATCCGCATTCGTAATCGGGTTCAATGTTGAAATGATCTTAATGTTAAGTCTGTCCAGCGTAAAGACATTGGATCAAGGTCAAATATCTATGACGACATACTATTTTTCGTCATAACTGTAAGTTTGTGTGCACGCCTTGATCTCCTCGATAATTATCTTAACTCCAAACATAGCACGTATATTAGTGGCACGTGTAGATATAACAATTTATTCCCTCAGGGTGTGCCAAAATAATCTACTGGGTAATAAAATTGCACTGCAAATGTTTGGTACAGGGATTTTCCTCGTGTTTATCGATTTTGAGAAAAAAAGCGTGAATCTTCAGTTTTGAGCTTAGTTTATACTTCAGATATTGGGAAGTTGAAATTACTAACGATGATGACGTGTACAGAAGCTAGACATGGGCACGCCAACAGACAGAAAAAGCACAGAAGAACACTGAGTGTGTACACATTCTACACAGAGGGTTTCGAGAGCCGAATTTTATTATCAAAAGAATTTATTTAAATATGTAAGGATCGACTGAGAAAGAGATTAAATGGAATATTTTTCATCCTTGCTGAATTGCAACAAAAAACACTGTGGTAGCATTAGGCCATCGGTTGAAGAGTGGCTTTCTGTCCTGCCCGCCAAAGCAGGTTTATATAAGCACTGACTGGTAACAGTATCTCGTTGTTGTCATTTTGAACGCCACAATTCAACCTTGCCATTTAGGCTTCGTCGGCGCTGTTTTGTCAATGGCATCAGTTAGTAGTCAGAGAAGTCGACTCAGTAGTCTTGGATCACTAACATGGAGGAGTTCAGTTGAAGGGGGCAGTGCATCACAAGCCACTTGTTGGTATTTGTCTTCTTCCTTCCCTCCTACAGACTGTGGATTGACACAGACCAGCTTGTAGAACGACGTTCGTTTTATTTCTAATGATTCTGCGCATGTCGATATGGCATTTTCAATTGGCTCAGTAAAGCCCTCTTCCTTTAAAACTACCCAAAATCGAGACGGTTCCTCTTCGGCGTCCGTTTCCATATCGACGACTGCACAGACGGCAAGGCCCTATTTCATTCCCGTGGTAGTATACGCTAAACTTTTGGAAAAGTTATAAGTAATTAGGTCGAGCGCGCTCCCAGTGCTTGCAACCCATTATAGGCTCGCAACAGGATAACAGAAAGCGCCAAAGCAGCAGGGACAGCACTAGAACTGTTGCGTTCATTGGCGAATCAAGTTGGCAAGTTTGCTTAAACGAAGAGAGATCGTAACTGCCGGTAAATGCTACCAAAAACATCTCATGATATGTGAATAAATTCATATATAGATGCTAATAGTATTGCTATGATAATCCTTATTAGCAATGACATGGCGGAAAATATAAACTGGAACTCAATTTTACGTATTTGGGCCATTCTCGTAAGTAATGGTGTATACTATTTGGCCTAAAGACCCAGAAAAGCCAGATCGTTGTTCCGACACTGATCTATTATTTACCTACCATAAAGCCCTTATATATTTTCAGCGCTAAGAGTCATGATGATTTAGAGAAAGCGCTCAAACGTATGTGTGTTCAGAGCAAAAAGAAACACCTTATTGATCAGTTGCGTTGTTAACGTAGTGAGGCATGACTCAAACACAGATGACGCTGCGTGACCGAGGCTTGACAGCCAACTCATCCAATTCATCCATAATTCGCGCGTTACTTTTATTACTTACTTAGTTACTTTTAATCATTTAGTTGTTCGAAAACACGTGTTAGGTGTTTCTTGTCGTTTTTAATTTATTTCGTGAGCTTGCGGCTACTACTAGCTTGATTATTTTTCGCGGTGACCATTCAACTGCAAAAAGCGCATTAGGAGTTGGAGGAAATATGTGAAGATGAAACTTCTTGTCATCAGACTGTTAGCGGTCCGATGACAGGTTATGATTAAGGGTCATTTATGAGGTCGACAGTGTAAACATTTAGCGTATTCTCAGTGTTACCCTAGCTATAACTAAGTGGTCCAACTGTAAACTATAAAAAAAACATTTCGACTTCTTACTATTTTGTTGACTAAAAAAATTTTGTTACTATTTTTTAGAACCTTCGTTCATAAAAGAAGATAAATCGTTCATAAAACTTTCAAATAAAAATATTTAACCATTTCTGTTTTGTGACTCTATATAAGCCTACAACGATGAAGGAAAGAAGGAAACGAGGATATCAGTTCTAAGAGATGTTAGCCCCGTTAAAACCAAAAAATTAGAAAAGATTTTTGAAGAAGCCAGGAACTCTTAGCATTAACACCTAAAGATAGGTAAAAGCGATTTTATTTGACCCCAATAAGTAACAGGTATATATATTTTAGATCTTTTTGAGTCATCAACACCACGCATGTAAAAGAACACAGTTTAGCCGTCACAGTTTGAACACTCGAGGCGTATGTCAATGGCAAAATTTTCTGTAACATATTAACGGTACAGAATAAAAAATAACTGCGGAACATATTTTCCTTAAGAAATAAGAAAAAGTAAATTATATGTCACATTATGTCTTCATTATTTGCAATATATTCATTGTTTTCGTATCGGTCAATTAGTCGTATTCGCAAAGCTTCAACTCACATCCCGATATATGGACATAACATTTACTGATAAAAGGGCATTTGGTTCTTTTACAGGTTGTTGTACGAATGGAAGTTGATTGGTGTTGTTCATTGTAATCACTGTGTTTAGTTACACATTTGTATTTAATAAAAGATGTCCAAGATAAGTTACCTCAGAGTAAACTATTGTTCTGATGTGTTCAATATAGTACGATGGTTCGTCGTTTTTGTTTAGGATCATATATTCCTGCCAGCCAAAGGCCAGATGGAACATGGAGAAAAGCTCGCCGAGTCAAAGAAGGCTACATTCCCCAAGATGAGGTGCCTAAGTAAGTAGAAACATACATTTAATAAGTATTAATAGCT